AATGATACCTTCTAAAAGTAAATGGACCTTGATATGTCTGTAACCAGGGAAACCCAGGGAGAACATCTGTTTCTCCTAATAAAAGTATAGCCATGATATTTCCTTCATATCTGTAAGGGCTTCTAACTTTCTTCTCTTCACAGCTTCTTTGGGCCTGAAAACTTCAATATTAGGGGAGGAGTATAGGATAAGGGGAATAAAGGCAGTTATGTTCCCTGGTATGATGAATACCCCACATTTCATACCTTGTCCTGAAACTAGCCCCATAATGGCAAGGTCTTCATTTTCCAACCTCTGATTCAGGAACTGCCTTTATCTCCTTGAATTTTTACAATGACCCCAAGCAAAAGGCATGATGAATTTCCTTAGATAGATGACGTCTCTGAGATGCAGGGCATAAAGTTACTTGACCAACATCACACAGCAAGTCATGACTTTATATCTGTAATTTACAATCATGACTTCTTTTATCATATGACATATATTGGATGTGATTTTTCTCATTTTCCAAAATACTTTTCCTTGCATTAGCAAAGGCAAGCAGAGAGAGATGAATTTTCTTTTTCTCCCCACACCTCCACCTTTGGTCTTTTTTATATCATTGACAAAAAAAAAAACAAAAAACAGAGCTTGACCTTTGTGCACTGAAATACTCACAACTCTCTGACACTGAAGGAGACTGAAGACAACACCCATTTTCCTTAACCTGGTCCAATAAGTCCATCCTTAGAGCTCTTCACTGCACTGGCCATCATGCTCCCCTTCTACAGAAGAATGACCTCTCATCACACAGCTACCTTCCACCATAGTAATTTACAGTCAGGACAATGAATCATGACCATGAATTAAATAATAATGTGTCAATCATCCAAATAACAGTTTGGCTGAAGATGAGCCTTTTATTTATTTTTCTGAACTTTGGAATTATTACTCAATGGCCAATATAGTTTATGAACACTTCACTCTATGCCATGCGAGCTACTGGGTGAAAAGATACGAAAATTTTGAAATCAAAAGTTTGGTCCTTGAAGACAACAGTGTATAATAATACAAAGTGGTATATTAGTAGTTGCCAGTGGGGAGGAAGAGCAGAGAGGGAGAGCCTGGCATGATGAGGTGATGGGAAAGTCTTCTTGAACAAAAAGGATCATTGAAAGGTGATTAGGATTTGAAAACACAAGAGGGGGTTAAAGAAGAACATTGTAGACCTGGAAGAAGAACGTCAACAAAGGCGCAGAGGAAAAATATGTGCAAGAAGTAGCATATACATTAAGAAAATAAATCTCTCTAGAGTGGAGAGATTAAGTTGTGAAGAAAGGAGAAATCAGTCCTAAGTTAGCTCAGAAACTTACACAACGTGGAGTGTTATAGGGCAGGGTAGGACAATTGGACCTCATCTGGGAGACAGTGAGGAATGTGTGGAGCTGAAGTAAGGGGCCATGATAAAAGGGATACTTTAAAAGGTAAAAGGTCAAATACAGTGAGATAGAAGGACTAAGCTCTAGTATTGAATATAATAGTAAGGAAAATATAGTTTATAATTTATTGTGTATTTCAAAATAGCTAGAGGAAAAATTGTTATGCTCCTAGCACAAAGAAAAGATAAATGTTTGAGGTAGTGGATATCCTTATAAACCTGATTTAATCACTACATATTGTATAAAGGTATCAAAATGGCACATGTACCCCCAAAATATTTAAAACTATGACATATCAACTAAAGACGCAAAAAAGTAACCCTCCAAAAAGGATCAAGGGAAGTTATTTGGGGCAGAAAAATGGTGAAGAATGGTTGCATTTGTCCAGGAGGAGCTGTTGGATATTTGGGAAAGCAAAAGAAATGGAGGACTTAAAAACAAAACAAAAACAACACATTTGTATCTAAAATAGTAGGAAGAAACATCACCTGGAGTAAATGAGTGAAAGATCGTGGCAGTTGTTCTCAAACTGGTGTGTGCATCAGAATCTTCTGAAGAGTATGTTAAAACACAGATTTATGGGTTTGAACCCCAGAGTTCTTCCTCCCTATGGTATAGAATGGCAGGGCAGAAAAGTCCTCAAGATTGCATAGAAGGTAGGATTATGCATCTAATGTCAAGTACAGTATTGTACAGATTTCATTTCCCAGCATCAGAGTAGGTATGCAGTAAAGGCAGAGGATATTGTATTCCTGCTTATGAAATCACACTTGTCATTTGAACATATCATACCATAAACATGTTTTGTTTCCCAAATACCAATTGCTGCATCCACACTCCCTTTCTAAGGTTAGAATAGCAATTTTTTAACAATCACATCGCTCAGCAGTGATATGTTATGCATTTTCTGAAATTATCCAAAATGAGAACTCCTGGGGTACATAACTCAGCTCTCTCCTTCCAACATGTGCATGATTTCCTTCGCCTCCTATTATGCTCTTTGGACCTGTAGTCATGCAAATGACACAAGTGAACAGCTGCATTCGGTGAACCAGATGGTCACATGTGCAAAGAGATGGGATGGAGACAATAGAAGTAATAGCCTATAAAGTAGGTTAGCGCTGCTGAAATTCTACTTTTTTCTATTAATAGCAAGCAAAAGGTTAATTATTTCCATCCATGTTCACTTAATGGAGAGAATTAATCTCAAAGGCATAGTAAGAAATTTTTAGCAAAATTCCACAATTGCTTATCCTAAGGAGAGGAGAGTGAACGAATGTGTGCTGGAGAGAGTGATGGAGACAATGAGTTGGCTTACTGTAAAACTGCCCTTGGTGGAGGAGATACACGACTGTGTTTGTAGGTGGCTGGGAAGAGAGTAAAGGAGAAATCTGCTCCATCTTCTTTCAGTAGTGAATCCTGATGAAACAAAGGACAGTCTTTTGCTTCCTAAATGCTGTTCTTCTCTAAAATCAAAGATATTTGAAATTAAGATATACACTCCTTTTCTCTGTGCACAACAGGAATCATGTTTAACGTGGGTCACATTTACGATGTCATGTACACTCACATATTGTAGACACAGGAATATTTATAATCTTTCCAACCTTTCCGTAATCATGCTTTTACTTTCCTCTTTTGAAAAGTCCTTTCTCAGAGCAGGTTATAAATGTATAACATCTTCATTTATAATAGCACATTTAGTAATATTTCAATTATCTATGGAGAGAGAGAGCCGTGTTCCTATTGTGATGGGTACTATCACTTTGCAATTTATTTGCAAAGTGCAAATAAAGTGCAAACATTGCAAGATTTACTTGCCGAAGAGCCTTAAAGTTCATAAATGCTAGTTAAAAGTTCAGGATTGTGATACTTCATCTACATCTTTGTTAATATAAAAATCAAGATTTATCTGTTAACTCTGTATTCTTTACAGAAGCATCTAGGGCCCAGACCTTTTCTGAGTAGTTACATAAAATAAAAAGAATGCCATATTCCATTGTATGTTAGTACTTAAAAAAACAATGAGACACAGGACATTAAAAAAGCCCTATTTTTTGCAAGTTCTATTGTAAAATACATATTTGCTTTCATTGTCAGAAATCAAAAGAAAGTATTTCCAGTAAAATTCACTGAATGATAAAAAACATGAAAATTTTAAAAAGATGGAAAAAAAATTAAGACCCTAATGCTTAGCCTTGATTCTTTTACATATTTTAGATTATTTTTTCTGATTGTAACAGTAAAGCATGCTTATTTGTAGACAATTTTAAAAGGAATAAAATAAAAAACACCCATTTTTCTAGAGATAATTGGTATTAAGATTTTGCTATCCTTTCTCCTAGTCACTTTTTACACATTAAACATATATAGTTACATACATATACTAAAGCTATACTATATTTGAAATAGTCAAAGCTCTTCTTTAAATGCCATATTATATATTATCATTTTCCATAATCTTCAAAGTTCTTAAGTCATAGAATATTAATTATTCCATCAAAATTCATATATATATTAATGCCAATTTTATTGCTACCACTAATGATGTGATAAGCTTATTTCCTATTATTGAATTTCTACTATGTTTTTGCACTCTGATGAGGAGAACAGAAACCTGGCAAGCAACTAATCAGCACCAGAGCTAAATTGGACTTTTTAATTGATTTTATAGAGTTTAGAGGAGTTCAGCATTCATTCAAATATTTTTTGAGAACTACTATTTTTTAGGCATGGCCCTACTGAGTATAATTCAGTAGATAAAACTAATAAAAGCCTCTGGCTTCATAGACCTTAGGTCCCAGAACTGTTATTTATTAAGGTAGAGAAAAGTAGAATAGAGAGTGTTTTTGTGGGTTTTAGTGGATGGGGGGTGAGTTGTGTAAAATTTCCCTTTGAAAATGTTGGGTTCGAGATGCCCATGAGCTATCCAAGCGGAGATTTACTGATAGGGCTCAGGAAATAAGTCTGGGCTGGAGATATTGATTCAGAATTCATCAACACACGGAAGGGAGTTAACACCATGAAAGCACATATAGTACTCCAGGGAAAAGTGCTGACTGAGAATTACTGAGAAGGTAGGACTTGCACTTATGGAAAATTTTAAAAAGAGGTCTTCTGCAAAGGATATGGAAAGAGAAGAGAGAGAAATGAGACTCCTAAAATTATGGAGCCTCGGAGCCAAGGTAGAGAGGAGGGTGTACTATAAGAAAAAAAAGAAGTAGACAATGATAACACTTCTGAGAAATCAATCAAAATAAAGATTGAAAAGTGTGCATTTAGAAACACAAAATTCATTACTAATAGCCATTAGAAACATAGCCCCACTTGGAAGGTGGCACACTTCCTTGGCATCTTTTCTCCACTACCCTGTCTTTGTATGAGCCACTCCCTCTGTGGCCACACCTTGTAATTTGTTATGACTTGTTGCTGTGCCACTCCTGGAATCATGAAGTCAGACATTACACTCTGGGGCCATAAGTATCATTTCTCCCATTTCACTTACTCAGATACTTGGAACACACAAATATCTTTGACACTGAGCACCTCAGAGCACTGACCCCTTTTCTTTCTATCCATCAGCCCTTTATGTTCAACAGTTCGACACTCTGCTAAGAAGCTTGAACAACTTTGACCCAGGAAGCAGGGAACACTTTGGGGACAACAGTCACATGACAATGCTGCTGTACTTGTGAACAAATGAAAATGCTAGACTCACCATAAAAACATGGTATGGTCTCTTCTTATGAGATTTTTTTTTTAAGTGAGAGATGAAGTCTAGCAATCTTCTTAATGGCAAAACACATAAGGAGGAATAGCTATGGTTCCACAGCAAAAAAAGGTAACTGAATTTCCACTATAAACTTTCAACTCTCTTGCAATGTCCATTTAAAAAAGTCCATTCACTGGCCGCAAACTGCCACTGATACAATGAATTTATGGCACTTAGAAATCTCCTAGAAAGAGACAAGACCTGAACCTATGGAAGACAGAGTGGCTGGGCTAAATGGCTTTTATTATAGTCTAAGTTCCCCCCAAATCCTGAGATAAGGATTTGTGTGCAGTGGTTTGAGTGTGATACCAGGAAAAAAGAATAAGGGAAAAGGGAGTGAGACAGGGAAAGGAGGCAAAGGGTGTGCTATTATGCCAGTTAAGCCATTGAGTAACTAGAACTTAATCCTGAAGGAGAAGTCAGGGATTCAGCGTAGAACATGTGACTCAATTATCCCTACTTTCCTGTAGCCAGCAGGTAGAAGCTGGAGTGTTTATACCTACTAATAATGATCCTCAGCTAGCAGTGCCCTGGGAGAAGGAACAGAAAGAGTCCTCAGAAAGGAAGTCAGGCATTATAGTGGGAAGGCAGCCTCTGCTCCAGTCTGTTCCTGACAGTTCTAACATTCTCTATGGTATAGAATTCTGTAGAAATGGAGGGGCTTCTATTTTGGGAAAGGGCTTTGTTTAAAAATTGTTATTTGGATTTGAAGAGTTCTGAATGAGTGATATTAAAAGAGTTCCTATTTATCTTATTCAGGAGACTCCCTTTCTACTGAATTTCATTAAAATAAACCAGTATGGTAACTGTCTGGTTGCCTAATGGTATAATCCAGTAGATGGAGATCATTCCATAATGCACAGATGGTTCAATAAGCCCTAAGATGAAGAAGAGTTTGATTTTGTTCTCTTAATTTTTTTTCTTACCTACTATATTAATCAACATAAACTGGCTTTATTCCAGCATAAAAGTTTACCCTCAAATCCCAATGGCTTTACAAATTAAAGGGTTATTTTTCAATCATATGTGTGTATTGCAGAACCACAAAAATTTCTGTTCCACATTGTCATTCAAGGACGCAGGCTGACAAAGGGTCCATCCTCTCATAGCTGCAGCCTGTGCCCTAGGCAGCCTCTTTTGTCACTGTAGCAAGAGGAGAAAATATGAGGAATTATGCATGAGTTTTCACCATCTCAACTTAGAAGTGACAAATCATTTCTGCTCACATTGGCCAAAACTTTTCACATTGCAATACCTAGCTGCAAGGGCTGGGAAATGTAGGGTACAAAGAGAATATGTGATGGTCATTATGGTTTTTGCCATTCTACTAACTAGAAGAGACTCAAAGATGATCCAGCCAAAGTGTTTCCAATTGTGCATGCCAAGAACTCTGTGGCTCCCAGCATCTTTGAGGGATTCCTGATGGTGGAAAAGTTATTCTAATCTCCTCCCATGTTAACCAGAAAAGCTTTTCTTCAATATGTTTTCTAATATTGATATTCCTCGTAAGATTTTGTTTGAAGACAGGATTCTGTTGCTTAAAATAAAGGTGGAATATGACAAATGTGGTCTAACTTTTTCATTGAAAGATAAGAAAAATCAAGTCCCAGTGATATAGTTCTTAAAGTCAAGCAGCTGGTTAGCAGAAGGTTTTGCACCAGAACCTTGTTAGGACATTGTCCACCATGACTTTATGCCCTTACAGACTCCTCATTTTGGGGAAAACCTTTTCTCTAAGAAGTTAGTCAGGAATTTCTGGAAAAACTTAAGCCTGAAGTGATTTGAGAAAAGAAAAAAAAAAGAATGAAAAAGAAAAAATGGAAGAAGAAAAAAATCACAGACAGAGAGACAGATAAGAAAAACAAAAAGCTTTGCAAAATGAAAAGGGGATGGAAAGAGAGAGAGAGAGAGAGAGAGAGAAGTGCAGGAGGTGTAAAAAGGCTGCCAGCCCAAGTGAGAGAGCCACTTGGTCTAGACTCCAGATGTGAGTACATGGTCTCAGTGAGTTCAATGCTGGACTCCTCAAACATTTTCCCCAGATGTTATGGCTGAGTTACAAACCCTTGGACCGGTGACAGACAGAATTGGCTGCTTTTCTATTCAGCGTTTTTCATGTTAGTGTGTGATGGTCACTCTGCGGGCTGCTTTGAGGTTACACCACCAGATAATGAGGTGTTTTTTTCTATTACTGTAGTCAGCATCTTAGGTGACTTCAAAGAAGTGAGGCATGGCCGTGAAGCCCTCTTGAGGGACTAGAGGCAGGTCAGAGGAGCTCAAACCAGCAGATATAGCCTTCTTCCCATAGGAGCATCAACCTGGCCTTCAAAAGACAAAACAATGGAAAGAAATAGAGTAAATAATGCAGAGATGAGCTACTGTTTGCTAGCAGCATGATCTTGAGTAAACTGCCTTATCTTTCTGGGACTCTGTTTCCTCTGAGGGATTTAATCAAATGGTCTCTAAGTTCCATTTGAACATTGGCACTCAGTAGGCACCAGCAAGAAAGGATAAACAAGAAAGCCATGTCCCTTCCAAGCTTACATGAGAGAACACAAAAAAGCAAAACATTCTGCTTTGTTACATAAACATGGTAAATACTTGGATTTGCTCTGTGCAAGTGAGCAGCCTCTACAACCTGGCAATGAGTTGACCACATGAAAACTAAAATGGAATTGCTCTAAGGATAAAGAATAATTCTAGAAAATGGAAATGATTTAAGGGCCAGCTCTAGGCAATAATTCAGAAGTCAACAGAATTTGTGTGTCTTATTCACCCATTTATTCATCCGTTCCTTAAAGCAATACTTAGCATCTGCCACATACTATGGCCTAGGGAGATCCTGGAGAAGTACATTTTAAGTTGAGTCCAGTAAGAAAGGTGAGAAAGGATTAATCAAAGAGGGGGAGAAGAAAAATTTTAGGCAACCATCTGAGATACATTGAGGAAACTACAAGTAATACATTATGAGCCTGCCACTTATTGCATGTGTGGCCTTGAGCATGCTATTTAACCTCTCAGAGCCTCATTTTTCTTATCTGGAAAATGGAACAATAATAGATAGCACAGAGGGTTGCTAACATTACATGATATAGCATATATACAGCACCTACTACAGACTTTACCATTTAAGAGGAACACAATAAATGATAGCATAGTATAATATCACGGTGTACATTTTACAAAGAATAACATAGGAGTCAAGATGTTACCCAAGTTTCTAACTTTGGAGATTGATTAAATGGTGTTGCCATTCCCTCATTTAAAGGATATAGGAAGAAAAGGCCGATGAAGAGAAAAACAAGTTACAAGATAATTCAATTCTGGACATACTGACTTGGAGGCAAATGTGCAGCCAGCAGATGGAGCGTCCACTAAGTGATTTAATATATATATAATCTGGAGTAAAGGAGAGAGATCTGAGCTGATGTCCACTCGGCATGTATATGCCAAACTGATTACTATAAGGGATACAAAAATAACGCCCTCCATGTCTCCTTTCAGGGTCCCATTTTGTCCTTCTAAAAAACTCCTTTCCTTTGATTCACGTTCCTATCACCCATAGCTATCAACAAATAAATTATTAGTTGATAAGGACTTGAATTTTAATAGTGGAGAACTAGAAATGATAAGAAAACAAAATTTTTTTTCCCAGGACCCTCAAAACCAATGGATGGGCTTTTGAAATCTTACAATCAATTGAAATTGAACTATAAGGCTAAGTTGGTCAGGCCATACAGATAGTCACAGGCTCCTAAGGCAGATTTTTTTTTCGCACACATGCATTATTTTCTGAAAAGGTGAGTGTGGTGGATTCACTGGAGCCATCAGAAGTGAATACATAGCATTTTTCCTGACATTTCTTCCTTCTCAATAAATCAAATTAACTATAAAATATCATCAGCGTAGCAAATCTGCTTTCCCTTTCATTTTTGTTTTTCATTTCAAATTAATATCAGATAAAACAATTAATGTCTTTCAGAGTATTTTCCAGATCAAAAATAAATGCATACACACATGAAAAAAAAATTGGCATTTCAAGAGGAAGAAAACAACTTTATTTAACATAAAACTTATTGAAAAATTCAAAGGCTGCCAACTGGGCTGGAAATTAAGGTAATGTCTCTAAAAAGTCTCTGCTCATCAGCAGGAGGGAACAGCAGGAGGCTTGGCCCCTGTTCCCTAGATGTTTTGAATGTGAAGTCCTTGTTTTGTAAGGCTATAAACTGTCCCAGATAGTATCTCCTTCCCTCCCACCAAGTATAAAACTCTATCAAGCCTCTGCTCTAGAATTAAATTCTCATCCTACCAGGCCTCCTTTTCTGCTGTTTTCTATAATCTCAGACTTTCTGGACCCCCAACTTCTGGTTTATCATCCCCTTTCATTTATCCCTTAAGCTTTCTGCCATAGGCACTGGGAAAGCAGCAGTAAGAGAAAGCTCAGGCTTACAGCAATATTTTATTTTCCTCAAATGGAGGTGGGAGTGAGGTATGCAAGAACCTTTGAAGACTATTTAATTCATGTGTTTCTTCATCATAACTCTGAAATGTAACCAACCCCGCACTCTAAGACAACTCTCTCACTGCTCATGATATAACCTTCCTATTAAAGCTGCTGCTGCCATGTATGCTTTTAAAAGCATGAGATTTTGTTTTAAAAAGGAATATGTATCCTAGTTCTATCTTTAATACCAGTTTGAAATCAGTCAAGTCATTATCAGTACTTTGAAATTCAATTCCCTCCTTTAAAAAATGGAGAGCCAGATGTTTCTCTTTCTGTGCTCTGTTATCAGTTTATTCCTGTCTCTGTTTCAGAAATTCTCAACTTTAAGCATGTCTGAATCCACGCAGGCCACTATAACAAAGCACCATGAACTGGGTGGCTCCTAAACAACAGAAATGTGTTCCTCACAGTTCTGGAGGCTGGGAAGTCCAAGATCAAGGTGCCAACAGATTCAGTGTCTAGTGACAGTCAACTCTCTAACTCGTGATTGGCACCTTCTCACGGAGTCCTCAGAGGGTGGAAAGGGAGTGCAGCTCTCTCAAGCCTCTCTTATGAGGGCACTAACCCCAATCATAAGAGCTACATGCACGTGACCTAATCACATCCCAATGGCCCCACCTTCTAATACCATCATATTGGAGATTAGGTTTCAACATTTTGAGGGGACACAGACATCCAGACCATAGCAATTGTAATGATCATTTGCATGTCATTGAGATCATGGACTGAATCTTAGCCACCTCTACATTCCCAAGACTTAGAACACTGCATGCTGTAGATGTTTTAAGGTTTTATAAAGGGAATTTAAAATATCCTTTCCTTTCAGAGTTGTCAGTTCTATTAAGATCAGGCGTTACAGTGGCCTGAGCTAGAAGGTGCACCTGCCTTCTGCTTCAAACACTCAGAAATACAGGATATAACAAATGGTGCTTTGGGTATAATAAAACTTAAAAAAAGGAAAATCCTTGTGTTATTAAAATAAATAAGGATGTCAAAGCCAGAGTGTCAAGCTTGGCTAATGCAAAGGAGTCCTAAGGGACATTAGATGAGAATATACACCGAAGAGCTAGCTATTAGAATTACAATGTCCATGTCGGAAAAGGAGATACAGCCTTGAGCTCATACAAAGTAAAGAGCTATATTTAAGATCTCTACATAAAGATGGATCCCTGAAACGATTGCTCCCTCTATGGAAACCAGAATACAAAAAGCCCACCCTGAGAGTTCAGAAAAGCAGTGTCTGAATTTCTATTACCAACACAATTCAAGAATCGCAAATAATAAACTAATGCATAAAAGTTGATCTTAAATTGAAGACATTCCAGACTCCATAAAAGAGAAAATTAAACTCTTTTCCTTCTCCATAAAAGAAGAAAATAAAACTCTTCAATAAGGGTACAACCCAGAGTGACTGAAGCTACCATACAAAAACAAGCTCCATGGAAGATAAGTTCACATTAAAAGAAAAAAAATACACCCAAGGAAATGATCAGCCATGAAAAATAGTCAACAGAAACAAACAGAAAAATTAAAACTTGTAATAATAGAATATTTAAAAGAGATCATAAAATAATCCACTTATGGACTGATGGACACTTGGGTTTTTTCTACATCTTTGCAATTGTAAATTGTGGTCCTATAAACATTCTAGTGCAGATGTGTTTTTTATAGAATGTCCTTTCCCTTTGGGTAGATACCCAGGAGTGGGATTCCTGGATCATATGGTAGTTCTACTTTTAGTTCTTTGAGGTGTCTCTGTACTGCTTTCCACAGAGGTTGTAGTAGTTTGCAGTCCCACCAGCAGCGTAGGAGTGTTCCTATCTCTCCCCATCCATGCCAACATGTGTTGTTTTGGGACTTTTTTATAAAGGCCATTCTCACTGTAGTTAAGTGATATCTCATTGTGGTTTTGATTTACATTTCCCTGATGATTAGAGATATTGAGCATTTTTTCATACGTTTGTCTATCTTCTTTTGAAAATTTCTTTTCATGTCCTTTGCCCACTTTTCAATGGGGTTGTTTGATTTTTTTCTTGCTGATTTTCCTGAGTTCTATATAGTTTTTAGTTATCAGCCCTTTATCGGACGCATAGCATGAAAATATTTTCTTCCATTCTGTGGGCTGTGTATTCACTCTAATGATTGTTTCCTGGGCTGTGCAGAAGCTATTTAATTTAATTAAGTTCCATTTATTTATTTTTATTGTTACTGTGATTGCTTTTAGGGTCTTCTTCATAAATTCTTCACCTAGGCTGATGTCTATAAGAGTTTTTCCAGCATTTTCCTCTAGAATTCTTATGCTTTCACGTCTTAGATTTAAGGCATTGTCCTTAATAGGACAATGTTGGTTGACATCTTGGTGCTCTGATGCTATCCAGGACACAGTTGATGTTCTGGTAGTAAATTTTTGAGAAGTTAGCATTGACCTCTAAAGTCCCTCTTCTAAAGCAGTCAAGTCCTTTTCTGCATCCAGGTTAGGGAGTCCTTGAAAGTCAATCACATATGTGTCACCTTTTCTAGTCGCCCCTTAGTTACCAAGAGTATCAAAAGAGAGGTAATGCCTGACTACAATGCACTGGCCATTATAGAGAGAAATAATGCTTTCATTCACCATTCTTTCCTACTGATGCACTCAAGTAGGGAGGGAAAAAACAAGCCTCCGTAGTAGTGGCTCCTAGACAAATCTGAGTCTAATGATGGCCAAGGTTCTGCCTAAAGATGAGCAAAAAGGAGAATCAGCAACTAAAGAAGGAGGAAGATGTTGAGTAAGAAACTGAAGGCTTTCTTTTGCCTCTGGGAGGAATTCATATCTATGATCACTATTTCACCTGTTTTGCCTTCAAACTCTCTGATATCAAGTGGCATCTATTTACATAACACTTTTACTTTTCAAGGTACTTGCCAGTGCATTATTGCCATCTGGTTGTCTAGAAACCCCGTAGCATTGGCAAAGAAATCGAAGCTTGCTAATCTCAGTAATAAGGACAAAAGGCCAACCCCAAAAGCTTTTGGAACAAGGCAGGGGAAGGTTGGAAAGGTTGGAAGTGACACAAAAAGGGAAAACAGAGTTGTCCTACTGTTGGTATAACACTCTCCTTTTGGAGCCGTAGTACCCCAGTTTTGACCTAGGCTATGCATGAAGCAGATATAAGGGCATGGATGTAGATGATTCTGGAAAGTAATTCTGAAGATTTAAGGAAAACCATTGAGATACTAATGATTACTTAAGGTAGTCTTGCTAAGTAACAAAATTTGATTCTGATAATGACTTTAAAAACATCCAAGTGCATTGCCTCCATTGATTAATTGATTGGGAACTGCTTTTAGCAGAAGAGGCTCTAATGGGATATACTTTTCACTGGAGCTTGCTAACAGATTTGCCAAGGCAGAATGCTTTTAACTTTTTTCTTTGCTAAGCATTCAATCTCTGTATTCTAAGTAAACACCTCTACCCCCTGGCTAATAGCATTTTGCTAAATTTCAAATGTGGTATCAGGGCTTTAGTTTTATGAAGAAACATCAAATAGAGTGAAGTCTGCCCACCTTGCTGGGGCTTCTGGTCATTAGATACACAGACTTTGATTACTCTGTCTGAAAGTCTTTCAAACTTTTCTTGACTTCAAACCCCCAAAGTCAAGCCATAGTATAGGACATGCTGACCACTCACTATTACTCATTTTGTGTCTCCCTTATCTACCCTGGCCTTCACAACCCACCCCCAGCTGTGGTGACTAGTACCTATGAGTCATGGGAAATGGCACAGCCAACCATTTCCTGCTTAGACTGAGGATGCTAAGCTAGTCCTCCTTGGGAATTTTTGGTGATGACTTTTGGAGAAAAAAGAAAGGGGATTAGAAGGTATTGCACATCATTGTTAAACCGGGTGCTCTGGATTAGATACTTTTTGCTTTTAATCTTATCAATAGCTATTTGGGTTGCCTGTTAATATACCATTTTCACTTAAGGAAACTAAGGCTCGGGTTGTTTAGTAACTTGTCCTCTGTCACATGGCTAATAGTCCCAGGTGAGCACAACTTACAAACGTCAAACCATCACAGTTTGCTAATATGAATATAATTTAATCACAAAACAACTGTTTCACACCCCCAAGTAACTAGGGCTTTAAGTTTTGGCTGAAGCATAATGATAAGAAGGTAGGATTCTCCCTTGTCTTCAAGTTATAATGAACATATAATGACATTTATAAGAACAAATTGACCCCAGAATCATCACCAACAACTCTTCTCTTTCATGTCACCACTGACTTCAATCTTATTCTCTTTCCATAGTTTCTGGATTCAATGCCCTCTAACCCATTTTGCCTGTATTCTGGTTAGTATAATCTGTACAGTGAGGCTTTATTTTAGTTACAACAATCACCCCCTGTATTAATATTCTATAGTATTTTCCATGAATGGAATTCTCTTCAGAATTTTGAGATAAAGTAACTCACACATCAGCTTTTGGGATCCTTTCAAGATTTTAAAGTACTGTAATATGT